TGTCAAAAAATCTCATCAGTGGTGTGTGACATTCGTCTATTTAGGGAGTCAACAAAGCTCATATTGTTCTATATTTGTTATATATATTACACAGTAATAAACTGATGATTGTCATGGTATATAAGACTGTATTGGTAGTGTTGCTTGAGAAGTGATACTAACAACAATATATTTTAAGCAATGATCTTGTGCTGAGAGCCTTGTATTATCTTTGAGTTGATAAAATTACTATGGGGCAATTTCCAAACTAAAATGTATACAATTTTAAATTCATGAATGAGAGGGAAGTGTGTAATGACATTCGAACATTCAATTTGCCATTTGAGGGGTAGGCTTTACAGGATCAGGACATCAAGAATTACAATATCATCATATCTTTTATTCTTTCTATCATATCTTAAAATATCATAACCCATCAATCCATTACAATCCGTAAAAACTGAAAGTATACAATACAATCATCTTAATCTTACTTATACTTAATGAATTTTCTTACTAATTTATGACCTTTTACTGTAGGGGATACCGAATTTCATAGGGAAGCTAAATTTCATAGCATGAGACACTGCATAGTACACAAGTGCAAACTCTACACCGCTTATAACAAAGCCGGACTTAAACATAAGGAATGAAATTTCCATTGACACCGCTTGTGGAAGAAACTGTGCTCACAGAAATAAATGTGAAATATGCTGAGTAAATAACTTATGCAATATCCTAAACGTTATAGAAATGACGATCGATATATTAATAACTAGATAATAAAAAGATTATAAACCTCGTTCCCCTGTATTTCTGTCTATCTTTCAATATTCTAAGCTAACAGTCAGCAGTACGCCCAAGAAACCGGAAGTTATCGAAAAAAAAAGGGAGATAAGTTACGTATAAAGGAAATACATGGATTTGTGAAGCGTCTAAAATCAGAACTTGGAAATACAACGATTCTTACATGGCTTCCCTAAATTGTGAAATTAACACAAAATGAACAATTTAAATACTTCACGACTTAATCTATTTGAATTGATCCCTTAATAAATTAACGGAACATAGAGAACCCTATGTATGATGTGAACCTTAAAATGACATATGAACCTTAACGTGACATGTGAACCTTAATATAATATGTAAACCTGAATATGACATGTGTAACTTAATATATAACGTGACAATCTTAATATAGAACATGTCAATTTTAATATAACTCATCAATAAGACAAGTTTCTGTACAGGTCTTTCTAAGAATTTAGTAGCGGCTGTTCGCCTTCCCTTTTTATCAATTGAATTGTCAGCTAATATTAATTTGACCTTGCGGACTAAACCGTCAGCTCCACTTGGGAATACTTCACAAATTCTACCTAATTTCCAATTGCATCTAACAACATTTGGATCCTTAATCAAAACTATATCATTGACTTTAAGATTAGGAACAGATTTATGCCACTTTTGCCTAATTTGTAAATTTTGCACATAGTCTTCTTTCCTTTTTTTCCAAAATTCGTTTGACAGAAATTGCACTCTCCGCCATCTCTTTTTTAAATAAACATCTTCGCGAACAAATTCACCTGGAGGCGGTAGGAGAACTTGAGCCTTAAGAGTCAAAATATGATTAGGAGTCAATGAACAAGTATAATTAGGGTCATTATTATCATCTAAGGCTAAAGGACGACTATTAACAATACATTCTGCCTCTGCAAAAAATGTTCTTAAAACTTCATCATTTAGAGCATTTTTATGAGTTTCTAATAGAGCACTTAACACTGAACGTACTGATCGAATCAATCTTTCCCAAGATCCTCCCATATGTGAGGCTTCTGGAAAATTCATCTTAAATTCTACATAGTCACAGTTATCTTTAATAAGCTCATTTTGAATTTTACTTATGTTCATTTCTTTTAAAGCAACCTTTAATTCAGATTGTGCACCTATAAAATTTGAGCCACGATCTGACCTTAATTGTCTGACAGGTCCACGCCTACATACAAATCTCCTATAAGCGTTAATAAATGAATCAGTATCCATACTATTGGATACTTCAAGATGTATTGCACGCGATGCCATACAAACAAATATCACACCAAAGCGTTTTGAATCGCGTCTGCCATCTTTGACATGCCAAGGACCAAAGTAGTCTACTGCTGCATAGGTGAATGGAGCTTCAGTCTCAAATCTGTCTTTGGGTAGAGGGCACATTTTTTGTTCTTGTGTAGGACTGTATAACTTCTTACAGGTTACACACTTGCTAATGATGCTTGATGTTATATTGCAGCCTCCAATAATCCAAAAACCGTTTTCTCTAATGGCATTGTGGGTAATACTTCTTCCTTGGTGCTTCATTTTGGTGTGGAAATGTCTTATAAGAATTTCAGTTACATGACTTCTTTTTGGAACTACTGCTGGATGTTTACATTCAGTTGGTATATTAGCATTCTGAATTCTGCCACCAATACGAAGAATACCATTATCATCAATAAAAGGATCTAACTTATATAAGGCACTTGATTTCTTTAAATACAATTTCTCTTCTTTCTCATTCTGCCTATTTACTTTACTTTCCTTCTTTTTCACCTTTAAAGATTCTAAAATTTTAATTTCTTCAATGAAATATTCTTTCTGTACTTCTTTAATAATTTCCATTTCAGCTTTCTTTATTTCTTCTACAGTTGACATTTTTAATACACCATTTTCAAACATATCAGATGCATCAGTTTTCTTGATCCTTTTTTGCATTCTCAGGCAAACTGAAATAGCTTTCTTCAACTTTCCAATTGGAAAATCTTTCAAAGTGGTTAACCATTGTGTGACTTCTGTTGCTGCAGTAGCAAACGTTACTATTTTCCTAACTTCTGGATCATCTAACATCAAAACCCTTTCATCTTCAATTTGGTCCAGTTTCTCTTCAATATGCTCTCTTCTCAGGAAATCTGGTCCTTTCCACCATATGTCGGAGTTTAGCAGGTCCATTGCTTGTAAACCTCTAGATGCAATATCTGCGGGATTTTCAGAACTTTCAACATAATTCCACTGTTTAGGACTTGATAGGTTCCGAATCTGTTCGACTCTATTTGCTACATATATGTGAAATCTTTTGGAATCATTTGATACATACCCAAGAACCACTTTACTATCAGTCCAAAAATATTCCTTCACTGGTTGATATTCAAGTTCTCTTTTAAGCATGTCTGCAACTTTAACTGAGGTCACGGCTGCAGTTAATTCCAACCTTGGTACTGTTACAGGTTTTGAAGGAGTTACTCTAGATTTGGCTAAAACTAGAGATGTGGTTATTACATCTGCTTCATCTGTCAATTTGATATAAGAACACTGTCCATAACCCATTAAACAGGCATCAGAAAAGTGGTGAAGTCCGACTGATTTGGTTTCTCCAAAATGCTCTGGTTTAAATGACCTGTTGATCTTCAATTCTGCCAAGTGAGTCAATTCTTCTCTCCATCTAAACCGAATACTATCTGGTACTTCCTTATCCCAATCTGTACAGTCCTTACAGAGTTCCTGCAGAATTCTTTTACCAGCTAATATGACGGGTGAGACCAGTCCTAGTGGGTCGAAAACTGAACTAACAGTAGAGAGTATACCTCGTCTGGTTAATGGTTTGTCTTGAATATTTATTCTGAATTGGAATACATCATTCTCCACACACCATTGAACGCCAAGTGTGCGCTCTATTGGTAGTGGATCTTTATCTATATCAAGATTCATTACATCCTTGGATCTTTCTTCTAAAGGGATAGACTGTAGAACTTCTCTTCGATTTGAAAGAAATTTATGTAGTCTAAAACCTCCTCGTCTACAAATTTCTCTACTCCTTTCAATGAGATCTGCAGTTTCTGGAATAGTTGAAACTGAATTTAAACCATCATCTACATAAAAGTTGTTTCTGATGAAATTTGCTGCATCTTTGCCAAATTGATCTTCGTATAAGTCTGCTGTTGCCTTCAAGCCATAATTTGCACACCCTGGGGACGAGGTTGCACCAAACAGATGTACAGTCATTCGATAGGTAATAGGATCTTTAGTGAAGTCGTCATCTTCCCACCAATAAAAGCAGAGAGAATCCCTATGTTCAGTATTAACTTTCAGCTGATAGAACATCGATTCTATGTCGCATGTAAATGCAACTTTATTCTGTCTAAATCTGCAAAGAACACCAACCAAGTTATTCGTCAGATCAGGACCTGGTAACAGATTACTGTTTAATGATTCTCCATTATATGTGTGACTACAATCGAATACTACTCTAATCTTTGTAGGTTTTTTAGGGTGATAAACACCATGTGTGGTATGTACCAACTGGTTCCTTCTGCAGTGTCAATCTCATCTTCAGGTACACGTTCTGCAAAGCCTTTCTTTATGATACCACTCATAAATTCACTATAGTCATCTTTATATTTCTGATCTCTCTCAAAACTTTTTACTAATCCTTTCAATCTTTTGAGAACAGCAACTCTATTATCTGGTAAATTTAAAATGGTATCTTCATTTCTAAATGGCAATGGAAGCTCAAAATGCCCATCTTTCAATTGATGAATTCCCTTTCTCAATTTATCCATGAATCTATTGTCGTCTTGGGAAATATATTCTTCTTTAGTTCCTTCATTGAAGTTTTGTTGGAACATTTGAGCTATTTGTCTAGGTTCAATAACCTCTTTCACTTGAGTTCTGAAGGAGAAATGACAGTGTCTGTCATCAATATCTTTCTTGCATATGAATACGGATCCAGTATGTTCTTCGTTTTTACCAATTTGTATGACTTCTCCAATAACACTCCAACCCAAGGCAATTCTCATTGCATATGGTTGATTGTCTATGCCAGTTATTACTTCTAGTGGTCTTATTTCCTTTATTGTGTCAGTACCAATCAGCATACCTATCTTCAAGTCTTTCTCATATGGCATTAGCTTACTTGACATTTTCCTGAGATGGTCCCATCTGGAGGCTGTTTCCTGTCTTGGAATTTGACTATGGCTGGCTGGAATTCTTCCTCGGGTAAAGGTAATAGGTAGCCTTATTTCTTCCTTACATCCATACCCAACAATTTGCAGCCCAGATATTTTCTTTCAAGATATTGTGGAAGTGGCTAATACTGTTGATAATTTCAATTCAGTTTTGGGTCCATCAATATGTAATTCTTAAACTAAATCATTTATTATGAAACCAGCATCTGACTGCTCATCTAAGACGGCATACGTCATACGGGGTTATCTTCATGGCTTACGTATATTGGTACAATCATGGAATGAGATATACATTCAGTTGAACCATGAGTTATCTTGTTGCTGCTTATGCAATTAGCGACAGATTGTTGACGACTTGGTTTATTCTTAAACTCATCTTTCTTAGGTGGAGTATTCCTCTCCTTTCTGTGTTTGAAGTATTCATCATCATGCAGTGCTGTTGGGTGAAATCCATGGCATGTTTTGCAGGTTTTCTTTCGACGACAATCTTTTTTCATATGTCCATACTTGAGACATCCTCTGCATAAGGATTTGTTTCTTGTAAAATTTAGCCTATCGATGAGAGACATCTTCTTGAATTTTTCGCAGTCATCTATTTCATGGTTTCCATTACAATGGATGCAGATCAGTTTCTTCTCTTCTGATGAATTGGTATCAGGAACGTGTTCCTCAGCCAAAGTGGACATAGTTCTTTTGTCATACCGATTGCTTTGTTTCTTGACAGCGTAACGTGAAGATGTAACTGGATTACAGGCTATTCGTGCTTCTTTCTCTATGAATTTACAGAACCTTGCAAATTGTGCGAATTTATTCTTGGACTTCAGTTCTGGATCTTCATTTTTATCGTAAGTAAAATCATCCACAATTCTGCCCCATCGCTGAACAATGTAATGCGGAAACTTTGCTAGGAGTCTTTGGTTTTCATCTGGTTCATTCAAAGAATTCAAGTAAGGTGTTGAATCCATGGCAACATGACAGCTTTGAAGAAAGTCTGATAACTTTTGGAGAGCTTGTCCATCATTACTTTTAATTTCTGGCCATTCTTCTATCTTCTTCCTGAATCTTATTGAAATGAGAAATGGATCTCCAAACCTTTTATTTAAGATAGATTTAGCTTTGGAAAAAGCTTCTTTGGTATCCAGTGATAGTAGTCCACTTATAGCTTCTTTTGCATTTCCAGATGTGTATCTTCCCAGATAGTACAAGAGTTCAGCTGGTTCTTTAGTTCTTCTTTCAATTAATGCTGTAAACGATTTCAACCATGTGGGGTATTTAAGAATATCACCATCAAAAACATCCGGTTCTGGTCTTGGTAATGCATCGCGATCTTGTTTTTGAGATAGAAGATCTGCCAATAATGAAATAGGATCGGAACTAGGTGTGATAATTTAACTTGCATGGCATGGCGTACGTGACCTATCATTACATGAAACAAAATCTACAGCATTTTACATTAGGAATAAAGTTTGAGGTATCTAAATTTCTAACATTAGAATTTGAAACACTTAAACTGCGTACATTTGAATTACTTTCATTTAAATTAGAAGTATCTAAATTAACTTTACATTCATTTAAATTTGGAGTATCTAAATTAGCTTTACATTCATTTAAATTTGCCTTAGACTTACATTCATTAATATCTACAGAATTATGAACATTTAAATCATCCTTTGCAATTATTTTAGGTACCGTTTTATCAAAGGGCAATGAATCAGCTGTAATTGGATCTGCAGATCCAGTACTGTCAATTGTTACTAAGTCACCATTCACAGAAGCATTGCTATATTTAGCTTGGTCTCTCAAATAACGATCTAAAACTTGTCGACGACCACTCAAAGATCCATGACTGGAACGACTAGGAATGGATCTACTGGAATTACTGCATTCATCTATGGCTACCATCTCAGCCTTGGCTACTGCAAGCTCTTTCTTCAGCTTAAGTTTCTTCAAATTTAATTCCTGTGTAGCTTCTTCATCACAGAATAAAAGTTCTGTAGCAATACGAGCTGCTCTAGTCGCAGTCTCAACACTCTTTTCAGAAGTTTTAGACTGTGAAGTTGTTGTTGATGAAATTGTTTTGGGCGTACCACTGACTGTACCATTCTCTATATCCATCATCTTCTATCACTCAATCATCTACCATTCAATCTTTACTCTATCCTTATAAAACTATGATGATGGAAAGTTACTTCTTTCAGGATCACTCTAACGAGTTTTTACTGTAATGACATTCGAACATTCAATTTGTCATTTGAGGGGTAGGCTTTACAGGATCAGGACATCAAGAATTACAATATCATCCTATCTTTTATTCTTTCTATCATATCTTATCATATCTTAAAATATCATAACCCATCAATCCATTACAATCGGTAAAAACTGAAAGTATACAATACAATCATCTTAATCTTACTTATACTTAATGAATTTTCTTACTAATTTATGATCTTTTACTGTAGGGGATACCGAATTTCATAGGGAAGCTAAATTTCATAGCATGAGACATTGCATAGTACCCAATTGCAAACTCTACACCGCTTGTAACAAAGCCGGACTTAAACAAAAGGAATGAAATTTCCATTGACACCGCTTGTGGAAGAAAACGTGCTCACAGAAATAAATGTGAAATATGCTGAGTAAATAACTTATGCAATATCCTAAACGTTATAGAAATGTCGATCGATATATTAATAACTAGATAATAAAAAGATTATAAACCTCGTTCCCCTGTATTTCTGTCTATCTTTCAATATTCTAAGCTAACAGTCAGCAGTACGCCCAAGAAACCGGAAGTTATCGAAAACAAAGGGAGATAAGTTACGCAAAAGGAAATACATGGATTTGCGAAGCGTCTAAAATCAGAACTTGGAAATACAACGATTCTTACAAAGTGTGTTTGTTTCAAACTTTATATTATTAAACTAAACATGATGTATTTCAGTAATGGAAACTATAGATATATTTCGTATGCTGGGACAATCTGTTCTTCTCTTAGCCTTTGTATCATTTTTAATTCAGTGGTTTGTTCCACAATTCAGAAAATGTTGGTGTAAATACATAACTTCTTCACAGACAACTTTAGAAAATGATAATATAGGTGTGTATAATATGGAAATTTTGTTCTTAATATAAATGCCTATTATTATCATGTGTATGAATGGTTTACAAAGTGTTCAGGACACATGATGATCTACATGTTTATTTGCATTGATAATTGCAACATAGTAATTTTGGAAAGTTGCTTTTACCTTGCTTATGGTAGCAACTATTAGTATTACAGGAGCAGAAGCCATAGACCAGGCTGCATATTTTTGAAACAATCTAAGCAAGGGCTGGGATGTTTTAAGGGTCTCGTCTTCTTTATCTGTTGTCTGCCACAGTGCTAAGATTGTTTCCTAGACCTTGACTTTAGACCTTTTAAGGTGGGAATAATCTCAAACCAATAAAATTTTCTTTTCATTTACTTCATTCCTAACTATGACTACCTTTGGAGTAGAAGTGTATCGCTCGGCCCAAAAGAAACTTATTTTGTTAATTAGGGAAGGTTTGATTCCATCACAATGTTTTTACCTCTAATCTTTCTACATGATTTCCCTGTGTTATTGATGAGGGGTTGATAGAAATTCCTATATTTGTATTCCTATTAAGAGTTTAAAACCTTCAACTTCAATTATTTATTTTCATATTTTTTGGAAACTGAAAATAAAATTTGTCTCATTGTAGAAAGTATCAATCAGAATAAACTGGAGTCTGCAAACATAAGAACCAAACAACAAGATGTTCATCGTGAAAAGGTAAGAGCAAATGACTGTAAACCTTGGGTCCAATATAAAGGCTATGTAATGATTTTGGATATTGTACAGGGTGCATTAAGTGTAGTCCAGTTAAAATAGACATGAAATATGGGCTTGAATGAATTTGTCATATAATAATTGTATTCAACGTATATATGATATTTATATAGGCAGCGAGTTATTCTGAACGGATATTAAAACCAAGAGAAGAAGAGAAAATCAAACAACAAGAAAAACAATTGAACAGGTTCAGTGGTCCAGCATGGAAAGGTGAAGGTCAGATATTAGGGGTGAGTTCTCAAGAATGGTCAATATGAGTAAATATTCATCAGTGAACTTACCCTTTGTCATAAAGTTGCAACAGAATCTCTGTAAAATCAGGAAAATTGGAAAAATTATTTAAAACTGCTTGATCTTAATACTAAGCGTTTTTCAATAGTTAATTGCATTTTTATGGATAATCACAAAGTTTTTTTAGATTTATCAGATTATATAAGGATCCTGTTATGTTATTTATGACACTAGGTATATCTACTGATGAATATATGCTCTTATTGGCCAAGTTTAAAATTTTTAAATTTTATGTTTATTCTAAGACGTAGCATTTTTTTAAGTAAAATCCCATTGTTAACATAACAACACAGCATAGATGATTTATAAACATTTTTTTTTTAAAAGTTTGCGGTGTTTTTGTCTTGGCCTTTGTAGGTTTTTGCATTGCTTGTGCAATCAGTGCTTAAGTGTATGGCCGTATGTATGACTTGTTTTTATCTATTTGTTGTAAATGTTATACATTTATGAAAATCTGCCTAGTCATTCTGTTGTTTATGTAAATATTACATCGCTTCATTCACACTGATTTTGTGTTTTGTTAAATTTTGATATTGTTTAAATGGTGTTGATGTGTAAAGAAAAAGTTCTTAAAGGGATTGTGAAGAGGTTATCTAGTCTATTTATGTATATTGACTTTTATTGGGACATTCCACTTCTTCGTCCAATGCCTGTGATTTCTACTATTCCAGAAAGAGTTAACTGGAAATAACATAGCTCCTGCAAGAGAATTCATAACCAATATATCACCAGACCTCAACAAAATGATTAGATTTGTTATCTCCCCTTACAAGATGGTGGCATTTCTTACTAAAAAATAATACCTCTGCAATCCATAAATGAAATGAAATGAAAATGGGCTAATGAAGATGGGCAACGTCATGCAGGGTACAATGGGGAAAATTTTGCCAGAACATCAGCTTTAGCATGCTTTTTTTCAATTTCCAACTTTGGAGGGATATTTAATGTGCACTGCCTGTAGCACACAGGGCCTCAGTTTAATGTTCCAGCCAAATGACTAGACATGTGTAATCCAGTAAATCCACAAAACTAAGGAATAATGAAACATGCTTAGAAGCTTGTTTCAATGATCTTTTAGTTTAATGGATAAATCATGTTATATAGAGATTCTAAATTCTAATCTTTAGTAGTGACACCTGATATTTCCAACTGATGAATATATTATATAATTGTTGACCAAGTTTGAGACTTTAAATTTTATGTCCATTCTAATTGGTAGTATCCTTTTAAGAACCTTTTAATGAACCAGATGTTGGTTAAATCTATTGATCTAGAGATCATTGTATCAGTTAAGTTTACCATATTTCACCATAATCAATTATTCAGTCAAATTTAAATGGATTTTTTATCATAAAATATCTTTAGAAAATTTTCTTGAAAACCCCAGCTTATTTGAATAAAGCCTTAGATTTGACTGACTCAAAACTGTATTAACCATGATAATAGGTACAAGAAAACAAAAGTTAAATATGATATACATTATTAGTTTTATAAAGATTGCACGGAGGGGAAAATATATTATTGGTTCTCTTCTTGTTAGCAATTAGTTTTGGCCATACATACTAAAGTGTAAATAACTGTAATATTTGCAATTTGTTCACAGTACCTTACATACTTGGGATGTTTATTTACGACAAAGGCATGTTTATTGTGTTATTAACTAACTTGCATATACAGACCAGTCAAAAGTACAAACTACATTATCCTTATCCTAAAGGGAAAATGTCGGCAATCTAATGTTAACTACAGTTGGCAAATACTTTTATTTACTCCAATTCCTAGGTCTTAAGAACATTAATAAATGCCGAAATCATATAAAAACATTTTGCTGGTAACATGTCCTCGGCTAGAGAGATTAGGATAGTGTCTCTCTTTGTGAAAATAGCAAATTTCAAACAATTTCAGCATTACGCTGTTGGTCAAAAATTATTTCGTTGATATATTTATTGTTAAATGTTGCAGGTTGCTTTTTCAACCGAAAAGAATAGGTTCCAAATCTTTTACATTTTGAAAATTTTATCAACCTTTAACAATACATGTATATTAATATAAAATTCAGGGAAATGATGAAGGTCTCAATGTTTTAGAAAGAGATGATGTTTCACCATCTGAACAGGCTGCTCGAAGACGTCATCTTCCAGAACAGAAGGTAAAATCCAATTCCAATTGTCAACCACAGAAATCAGCAGAACCTAAGCAAAAAAAGGTCAGTGATTTTGTAAGTGTTATAAACTACTAATATTATATGTATTTGTTACATAAAATGGCCACTGTCCTAAACATTTACTAGGAGTGATATATATGTTTCTAAACAAAAAACGTCCCAAAGTTCTACAGGTATTATCTCAGCTGTTGGTAGACTGATCTCTTTCAGAATACTCACAGATATAGTTCAAGATGCGGTTGTCCAACTTTTAAAATATGAAAGTCATTGAATAAAAATTATACAAGTATTGCTCCGAACAAAATGGCATGCCAAAAAATACAATATCTATTTCAATCTGTTTACATTAATTATCAATTTGAGTAATAAAGACTAAATTGAAATGGTACTTTAAATCTTCTGCGCAGCGTGCAAAGAGAAATTATAACAATGTAAATTCTGAAAAGACTAAAATAATGCTTACAAATAATCCCAAAAAAATGTTTAAAAATCAGAATGCAATTGTTTCAGAGAGTTAATGGAATGGGGTCCAATTTGCCATGGACAACTAAATTTCTTAGATTTTTGTTTCTCTTAAAAGTAGTAACCAAACATTTAGTGAAACCTGTGTTGAATGTGCCATTCAATCTGCCACTCCATCTTCTTTGACCACCAATCACAACCGTATTTTCCATCCAGAGATGCTGTTACGAATCCCATCTAAAGGTTGAAATAGGTAAGTTGCCTTGATATTGGTGTTGGACAATGAAGTATATCTGTGAGAATTTTGAAAGAGATGAGTTTACCAACAGCTGAGATACTACAACTTTGGGATGTATTTTTATTGGACACCTGATATATGTTTAATGCCATTAATTGACAGCTTAAATCTTACATTTAAATTTTTGATACTGAATGGCAAATGCTGTAATAGTAGGTGCTGGTCTTTCTGTGCGGATCAGTGGCTTTTGATCTAACTAAATCGGACAACTTTCTGTGAAATGCTGCACTCCTCTGCTGATCTCCTCTGCTGATGGTGTGTCATCATGCACTGCAATCTTCCATCCCATTTGGGGTTTGCTGCATGCTGTTAAGGAAGATTTGAGACAATCTTTGTAACACTTGACTGAACAATATTTCCTGAGCCAGACCAGTTCAGAGAAGAAGATCACTTTAGAAAGACATGTCTCCCAGCCGAACAATGTGTCCAATGCAATGGAGGTGGGCCTTGATAATAAGAGCTTTAACCCCAGGCATGTTGGCTTTACAAAGCATGTTTGTGTGGGAAACTCATTCTTCCAAGAATGTTCTCATGATTTTGGAACTGCTGGAGTTTATTTAGCTACTTCCTAGACAGTGTCCATGCCGTATAAAATGGAGGCCAATGCTCTGTAGACTGCCAGCTTGGTCTTCAATTGGATGCAGTGTTCGCCCAACACACATCGCCAGAGTCTCCTGAAGGAAACACAAGCCTTTGAAAGTCTGTTTGACACTTCTTTTTCAATGCTGCAGCTTAATAGTGATAGTGCTACCCAGGTATGTGAAGGTTTCCACGCTGATCATCCTGGTTCCTTACATTTAGATATGAGGGTCTGAGGGAGTGAGACCTTGGGCAGACTGAAGCAACACTTCTGTTTTCCATAGGCTGATGGTGAGTTTGAAGTCCCTTGCTGCTGCTGATAGACAAGTGGCGAGCTCCTGTAGATCTGCTGCATTCAGTGCTGTTAGACGCAATCATTGGCAAACAGTATGTCTCTCACAAGCTATCATTCCTCAGAAAAAGGGGACACTGTCCTCAACATTTACTTAAAGGGATATATGTTTATACAATTACTGGCAGCTTATGTACATCTTAAATCTTATATTCATATTTTTTATTCCTAAAAGTTTGGATACTGAATAGCCATCTGGCTTTAATCATGGAAAGGTTGTTTAAAATGTACATCTGTTGACCAAATCATTTTTCTTCATTATTCTGATATATAGTTTTCTCTAATCCATGGCTTTAACAGGTGGCTTATTTTTAGCCTTTATCACTTTTTAGACTGACAATTTTATGTTCCTATTTTTTATAAGATAAACGTTGATTTTGGAATGCCAAATACAATTTACTTTAATTCTTAGCAAATTAGTGAACAGATTTGGAATTCTTTGTTTTTAAAAGTATCATTATGTATAAAGTCCTTTTTTGTGTATCTCAGATAATAATATTACCACCAGAACCAGATACTGATGATAAAAATACTGTCCTAGTTAAATTACGCACACCTATCAGATCTATCTGTCAAAGAAATTTTTTAATTTCAAATAATATACAGGTAGGTTCCTTTATGTTTTTTGTTTTTTTTTTTTTTTTAATTTTTTCTTTTATTTGTACAAGGTGTTAATATATTAAATGTGTCAATCTGATATAAGACTGGATAGTGTGTCTACAATCAATGTAGGCATAAATGTCCACATAGTCTGGATAAACAAAAAAATACTTTTTGACCTTTCTTGATCGGTCACTCATAGGAATTCTGCTGGTAATTCTCTTCTAATTTAGCTAATTATGAATTAATTATGTGATATGAGACAAACTGGTATTTTTCCAAGTAATTAGAACCTCTCTACTTTCTATTCACATAAGTATTAGCATTTTCATTTTCATAAATGAAAATAAGGGAACCCATCATTAAAATGATGAAATGTACTGAGCGTATTAGGTTTTCAGGTAAAACTAGTCAGCAACATGCCTCTACCTGTCACACACAAACATATGACATTGAAGGTTAAATTTTTAAAACAAACTAGATCAGAGATGGAAAATTAGTTAATTAGTTTATCATCAGTTCAACTAATATTCTGATTAGAACTAATATGAATTAGTTTAGACTATAAATAACAAGTTCATACTGCAAATATCCAGATTAAACCATTCTTTATCATTATTTACTACTTGAAGTTTGAATTCAACTAAAAATACTTTTTTTAAACTTTGCTTGAATGCAACACTTGTAGAATCATTGACCTTGAACAGAATAGATTGAAACATATTTGTTGTCAAGGCTATCTTCAAGAAAAAATTTTATTCTATGCTCACTACAGTTGATAATCTTCTAGGGTTTTTCCTTTCCTTACTTTATGATCCTTATTATTTAAATCTAATTTTGAATTTGGAAATTGATTAATACTCAAATGTTAAAATGATGATTCATCATTTTAAGATACTCTGTGGTATATAGAAAAGATATATATAGAAATAGTGAGTAATATTACTAGTTTGAAGTATTTTTAAAAGAATTATGCAATTTTTGTACATTTCTAGTACTTCTAAAGACTATTATATTCAAGACTAATATCAACCCCCCAAAATGCTGCATCTGTCCCTTTAATAACAATTGATATGATAAAATTGGTTTTGTTTGATCTTAATGAGTAAATGTGACCTTTCTTAAAATAGATAATTTTTCACTTAATAGACAAAACAAATTTCGAATACTTGAACTGAATACAACATACAGTTTATGTAACAATTTATTTATTTATTGGAGCTTGCAGTGATATTGGTTGACATATTCTTCACATCAGTATAGTCAGGTGGTTAATTCATTCTGTAATTGGTCAAGTGTATCGAGAAACCTTTTAAGCAAATTTTTGAACAAGAATCCTATATTAAAATCAGTTAAAAAAAATTTAATTGTTATCAAAAGAGGTCAATGAAGTTAGGATTATTTGTTTTAGTGTACAGGTCTTTAATGCTTTTACTAATACAGAAATTGCATAAAAGCAAACTGGTTTTAGAATGCCCTAGATCAGTTGTTATAGTTTCATCTTAAAAATGTAAAAAGTTATACATTTTTGCCCAAGCAACAAAAATTCAAAATTTCGTTTTACCCGAGTTGTTACATTCAAAATAGTTAACCTTGAAAAAATTGTTCATGGTGTGAAACATATAGCTGACTATCAATGTGCACTCAACTTTATCCATGTTTACCATTTAGTACAGTCAGGTCTTGCATAGATTAAGTGAAATACTCAACAACATTTTAACTGTACAATAATTGGGCAGGATGTGTCATTTATTAAACACATAAACCACTGAGAATTGTAGCGAAACGCTTTATTAAGTTCCAAACGACTTTAGTCTTGATCATAAAGTCACACATTATTGACAACTTACAATGTGTAAGATTACAGTTTAACTGGAAGTTAACTTTTGCACATGAGCAGTTGAAAGTAAACAAAGCAATGTTAACTTACAAATATCTAATCAAAAACAAACAAAAAATTTCACTGATATTACAAGTGGCATAGATATCGGAACAGAATGCGGGATGGTGCAAATTGAAAAGTGTCCTTGTTACACGCATACAAAGACGAAAAACCTCTGATTGAACCCTGTCACTCCCTCTAAAAATTGAAATATATAACATTCTTACAGTTTATATTTGATCAAAGGATCAAGGTTTCTTAAATACTTTAAAAATAGTCATCTTTTGTTTTGTTTGGTTTCAGGAATTGTTAGATTATATGACAACAGTTGGATACAGTCAAACATTTTATACACTATCTACCACCTATCCTCGTACAGTACTCACAGATCGGGTGAACACGACACTTGAGGATTTACAGTTTATCAAACAAGTCACCCTAAACATTGAAGAAAGGGACTAGAGAACAGGGCTGTTGATTTGATTGTTTTGTTGTATTAGAGAATGGAAATGGTGGTTGTGGATGTGAATTGAATTTGTTGGTGTTAACATAAGCACTATGAGAACACTATGATATGGTGGAGAGTTTTATGATTATGATACTCTTGATATCTCTGTATTTTTAATTACACTACAAAATAAATTTGGTATTGAAACCCTCCAAGAGAGTTTAAATTCATGAAAAGTATTTGAATTGGAAACCTAAGTTTACTTTTGAATTCTACATTCAGATTCCATGTCGACACGTTTGTTAAACTTCATACTGTAACTAGAATAATTCATTATGTTGCTGAATTTCTGGCCTATGTTCTGTCATAAATAAGATGAGTAACCACATTATGGCCTAAAACTAAGCCTTATTAAATTTGATTCTACTTGATGACATTTACTTACAATTAATATTCTATTTTGTATATATCACATACATTAATTTAATTCTAAACTGTAAATTACTCTAGGCAATTCTTTAAGGGGTATTCTGCTTTTTGGTAAAATTTTTCAAAATCAAAAATGTCTAAAATTATGAAAATATTTGTAAAATATGCTATTCATATATATGTAGAGAAAGAGAGTACTAATTGTTAATTAAGCAGTTTGACCTAGTTTTGATGGTTGGTATTATAATGGCTTAATATTATTATTTGAAATCTTACTCAAATCTGTACAGTAGTTTTGTAACTTAAATACCTTACGTTATGTTTTTAAATATTTTTGGCGTTAAAAAATTAACGGCTGGATTTTTTTAGTTAAAAATTTCAGATACTTTATAAGGCACGTTCTCTAGATTTTGGTTTGTAGTTTTCACAAATTTTAGCAAATAAATTTTTTGATCAACAAAAAAAGCGGAATATCCCATTAACTTGTAATTTTACATGTAAATCAGTAGGAATCTCTTTTGTGTCTCTTAATTGTTTCCACAAAAACAATATTTGAGAAGATGGTGAACTTGGTGACAATAAAATTCCTTGGATCCCTTTTACATGGTTTTCTGAGGAGGAATGTAAAGAAATGTTGAAAAATAATTTGTTAAATTACATTTTATTTCCCCCTTTAGGGCAATTGATAGAATAATTTAGAATCTAATGTCATACATTGATTTTGTACAGTGTTTGATTCAAATTGATAATAAAGCTTCAGTTATCTTAAACTAAAAAGGATTAAATTATTTTATTCTGTACAAGCCACTGTCCTTGAAAATTTTCCACAAAGTAAAGTTTTAGATGTAAATAGTTTGAGACCATAAAAGTAGGGTACTATGTAGAGGACAGATAGGTATGAATGTTCATGAATATAGGCTATTATATAAATCTAAAGCCTACATAATAGATAAGATAAAAATATTTTATAATAAGATATTATTAGATCTAAAGGGATTGTATGAAGGTACATTTAAAATAATCATTGATATTATGTTTTCTAAAATTAAATTAAAATTTTAAAATAGTATTTGACATAAAAACAGTGGTGAGTCAGGATTTCATCCACAACGAGGGGGGGAGAGAATACATATAACGAATATGTGGTTGTATATTGTCGTTGCCCCTGTCCGTTGGTCTGTCCGTCAACATTTCTTGTGGGCACAATAAAGACTACAGTTTTCATTTGATTGTAATGAAACTTGGTGTGAACATTAGGATTCATAAGACGGCGGTCAAGTTCGAATTTGACGATTTTTCGATGAACGGTTTATGAGTTATTGCCCTTGTCTTTTGTAGTGGGCACAATAGAAGCTACCATTTTCAATTGATTTTGATGAAACTTGGTGTAAGCATTGAGATTCATAAGATGGGAATACGATTTTGCGATGAACAGTTTTGTAGTTATTGCCCTTGCCCTCAAAAAATATATACCTGCATACCAAGTTTCATCAAGATCGATAAAAACTGTAGCCTCCATTATGTTTACAGGTCAAATTTGCAGGTATATATTAATGAGATCTCAATAAAGTACAAATTTAGTGTGAATTTGATGATATGTTATTATATATATTATCTTATTTCAATGCTTCTTGGTTATTGCTATTGATTTGTGGAAAAACTTTGCATAACCTACCCTAAATTGATGAGATATTCAGGGTTTTTGAACTGCAATTGCAATCTTCAATATGAGAAATTTGGAAGAAGATTTATTGGCAAAACTTTAATGGACATTTTTTGAGGGACTGTCCTTCCCTACTATCAAAATGGGTCAAAATCAGACTCTTTATTTCACAGTGTAGGCTATCTTAGATTTCATGTCTGAAAGAGCAAGGTCATCGTCTAGAAGATGTTTGGTCCTGTTAAATATTTTAAATGGCCTTCAGATAAAATTCCTGTGTGTAATTATATTACTATAGGCTACATTTGATTTTATCAGAATGACCGATTAAGTATTGATAGAATCAAAATTAATTGATGATGAGATGATGATCATATGACATGGTTTTTGGAATTTTTTTTTATATGATTTTATCTCCCATGCCAAAGCCTAATGGAAAATTTAAGCAATCTTTGACCTACTAGAAAATTTTTAGAAATGATAAAGAGTTGAAGTGTAGTATGAAAGGTCAACATTCGGAGGATTTTAAAAATAGAAAAGGTGTTTTTCAATGGCCAGCATACTTTCTGACCATCTTTTAGAGGTAGGCTACAGGTGTGCCATTTTGGGGGGTTGATTTGAGTCTTGAATATATGTAAATGGTCTTCAGAAGTACTAGAAATGTACGGAATTGCTTGATTTTAACATTTAAATGCGGATAATTATAATAATAACTCTATTTTGGCAACCCATTTAGACAGAAGTCTAATTTTCAATAGGTCCCACTAAACTACAAATTATATACAAGATTACAGAAAGAATAAAAATACAGAAAATAACATAAAACATATAAACATTTACAATGTAACATGATGAGGAAAGAAATATGTAAATGTAACCAATATGTTTGCCCACAAAACTACGAATTATATAGGCTATAATAAAGGTAACATAAAGAATAAAAATACAGAAAGTTTCATAAAACATATACATTTACAAAGCATTACGGATGTGGTGAAAAATATAAAAATGTAAACACTTATATCTTATACGATATATATGATGGTATAAGTTTTGAAGTAAAATTAAATGGTGAGAAAAACAAAAGGAATGGTTATAAATGCTATGGAAATAATTAATCATTATTGTGGGTAAGAACAAATTTCTTCAGTTCTTGTTTAAATATATATAGAGAAGGATTATGTTTTACAGTTTGTGGTAATGAATTCCAAAGAAAAGAAGCTCTATATTGAAATTTTCTCCATCGTAGAAGTTTTATTACATTTCGGTGCCTATGTCTAAAGTTCGGAGTGTTTCTGATCTTAGTGTCATACTGGCTTCCGTTAATTTTGATTTGTCCGTAAATTTATGGTATAAATATTCAGGGTGTCCAGTTTGAAATATTTTGAATGCTATTATGCCACGATTATATCTAATACGTTGTACAGTGTCAACCAATTTTAAATTTTGAATAACGGTGTCGAAGGTGAATCATGTTTTTCATTTAATATACTCCTTGCAGCGTGTTTTTGTAATTTGTATAAAACCTCTAATTTACTTTTATTGAAATTGCCCGCAAACTGTAAAACAATAATCAAAAAATGGTAAAATATTACTATTATAAAACAATTTACGTAAGCTTAATGGAATGCATTTTTTAATTTGACTGAGAAGGAAAATTTTAGAACTAATAATTTTTGACAGTTTTTTAATTTTGAAATCCCATTCAAGATGGTGGTCAATAGTAAGGCCTTATAACACAGTAAGTAACATTCTCTATGTGTACATTTTTTACAGTTAATGCTAATTGGTTATTTGCTGTTTGCAGATTGGAACCAATTAACATAGCCTTGGTTTTTGAAGCATTTATAACCATCCCATTATCCTCACACCATGTTAAACAGATCATCTTGAAGGGTGGCATTAATACAATTTCAGTTACGGTGAGAAAAGTGTAGGCCTACTTAATTATACTGTCATCAGCAAAGAGGTCTGTAGCACAATTTCTAACATGAAATGGCAAGCCACTGATAAAAATGAGAAAAAAGGAGATGACCAAGATTTGACCCCTGTGGCACCCCACATTTTACAGAAATGAGGTGGGATTGACAGGCACAGATACTCTTTGCTTCCTTGAATTTAAATTAAATTCAATCAATGTATAAGAGCTGTAATGGAATTTGTATAATTTCAATTTTTCTACCAGTAATTTGTGGTTTAACATATAAAAAGCTTTACTAAAATCTAAGTATAGACATCTGTCATTTCCCCATTATTAATTGCATTAAGCCAAGAGACACAAATGTTTATTAGTGCAGTATTGCAAGCATGATGTTTCCGGAATCCAGATTGAAATATATAGAAAATTCAAATGTGTTGAAGAAATGTGTAATGTTCAAAGTAATATGTTTTTCAAATAGTTTAGATAGGCTACGTTAGATAATATCGAAATAGGTCTATAATCATTTACAAAGTTTCTTTCTCCTTTTATAAAAACTGGTTTGATCTTAGCATGTTTCAGGATATCAGGAAAAGTATTTTTGGCTATACATAAATTAATAATATAAGTCAGAGAGGTTGTAATGTAATCAGCTGATAAACGTAATACCTTATAACCAATAAAATCAGGACCAGTTGATTTCTTACAATCAAGTGACAAAAATAAATTAAGAATGTCGTTACATTTAATGTAATCAATTTTAAAATACTGATATTGTGGAACTTTATTTGAAACATAGTTTTCAATACAAGTAATATTTTCGCCAGAAAGGAGGTTTATAAATTGGTTTAATATCATTGGTTAAATTTGTAAAATTTTGGACACACATGGATTTGAAGGCTCAAATTTTAACTGTGAGCTGTGAACACTATTACTGACCTGTGATCCGCCTTAATAATACTGGTAGGTTAATAATTCTTTAAATGTAATGATTGTTAGAAAATTGCGTACATGTAGTGTACATTCGTAAATAATCAGTTTTGAAACTGTAATGAATGAAAATAAAAAGTGGAAAGAATTAACTGTAGTTTGAAGCAATAGACTAATTACCTCCCCTGTTCAACTTTCTAATGTTTATGAGACACGTTTTGTATACAGATCACGTGATATCTACCGGTGACTTGTAAGCCAAGGATTATTTCCTTCTTATTTTATTTACTTTAAAAAACATACTACTTAATATTTACAATGGAAAAACACCATCCAGATACATTTTTGTTTACGTCAGAATCTGTGGGAGAGGGCCATCCAGGTGAGTTTGCTGATAAACGGGTATACCTTCAATAGATTTATTGCATTGTCAAGTGATGATGGGTTTAGGCTACTTGGTTGGACTGGCATATTTGTTTCCAATATAAGTTGGCAGGGCTAGTTTAAACTGGAACGCTGTTGTGTTCGTTTATCGCTACACTAACAATAGGTATAGCCTAAATCACACAGTAAAAATTTTGACAGCGGAATTCAACATTAATTTATTAATGTTGACAAGGCTACTATCCTACAAAATTTAGCTTTTCTCTCATTTCATTAAAATTCAAAATTAAATTTTCAACTGCATGCAATTTGTCTTGTTATAATGTCTAACATATAATGTATAGTGTTTGGTTCATTTCTAATCATGAAATTAAGACAGCTTTATGAATTATGGAATTGTTCATTCCTTGCTAATGTTGAAACTGTTAACCAGTTAACGGATTTCGGGTAGTATTTCACAGGTAACCGGGTCTGATTTGAGATAATCGGTTAACCATCAATTTTATAAGAAGTAAAAAGAGAGTAAGATTTGTTATTATTTTTATTATTTCAATCGGGTACGAGTTGCTTAGAATAAAACAGTTATAAAGATCGTATTACTTTTTATTAACCGACAATTACCCGGTTCGTAAAATTCACTAACCGTTTCAACACTATTCCTTGCCCATGAAAATGCCAAATGTCTGTTTTCAGGTGTTCTACAATAATTTTATCTAACGTAAGTAACAAGATGATGTCTATTATATGTGGTAATGATAAGAATTTGTATGTGTTCTAAGATTATTTAAGTAATTTGACTCTAACATAGTAACAGTAAAGATGATATTTTGTAGATAAGTTATGTGATCAAGTGAGTGATGCTATACTAGATGCCTGTCTACAACAAGATCCTTACTCTCAGATTAACTGTGAGTGTTTAACTAAGACTGGCATGATATTTGTTATGGGTGACTTTATATCAAATGCTGTTATTGACTACCAGAAAGTTGTGAGAGATACAGTTAAACATATTGGTTACACCAGTTCTGAAATGGGTAAGAATCACATGTTTGAAAAAAGTTTATTTGTGTAAAGTAAAAAAATTTGAAGGGCCAAAGGCTCTTTTCTTGGATAGAAACACCACTAACAGTAAGATAATTATATTATGTGTTGATATATATGTTATATTATTTTTTAATAGGATTTGACTATAAGACATGTAATGTGTTAGTATCAGTAAATGAAAATCATCGTGGGGATTCACAAAAAAAGGATGAAGGAAATACCACAGCCAGTGATCAGGTGAGTTTATATTTGATAAGAAAATGGTGTTCCATTTGTACTCAGTAATTGAGACATTATATTTCAATTCAGAAAATGAAGTTGATTTTCATCTAGTGTTTTTTTATAGAGCGTTACCTACTGAATAATTCAATTAAAATGAGGCATGTGCACTTGAATGAAAATAAAGCTCTGATTAAAAGCAAAGGTATGCAAGTTATGTTATTTTTTTTATGTATATTTATCTTATGAATCAATCACCTTTGACACTTTTTCAGGGTTTAATGTTTGGTTATGCTACAGATGAAACAGAAGAATGTATGCCATTGACAGTTGTCCTTTCGCATCAACTTAATGCAAAAATTGCTCAACTTAGACGAGATGGTGTATTAGCATGGGCTAGACCCGATTCTAAAACTCAGGTACACTCATTGATGCATACATATTTACGTCCCTGTTTCTGTTTGTCACAGAATTATAACTTAATGGAGCTTTGAAATAATTCCTCAATTTCAAAAGGGTGAAAGGGAATTATATTATATCCCTTATATCAATTTCATTTCTCATACTTGTTTTATTCGATTAGAATACAGTTGATCTGATAAAGATATTTTAGATATACAATATACATAGTTTCTTGTGTAAGCACCAAACTGGTATATTCTACACTTATGATTGTCATATTTGTGTCACATTATGTAGGTGACAGTAGAGTATTATAAAGAAAATAACTCCATGGTTCCAGTTCGTGTCCATACTGTAGTTATATCTCTGCAACATGATGAACATGTTACCTTGGACACATTACGTCAAGAATTACAGAATAAAGTGATTAATACTGTAATACCAGCTAAATATCTTGATGATCAAACAGTTTACCATATTCAACCTTCTGGTAGATTTATTATTGGTGGACCACAGGTAAATATTAAGTCCTGTGGAAATTTTAGTCCATGTTAAAGATGGTAATAGACGAAATTGGTTTTGAATTGAAAATTTTTCTATTACCGCATATTGTTGACTGTTTCATTAACCTATATTACTAGAACTTTTAGGAAAATATTCTTTGGCAAATTACCTGAGGATTACAAAATATTTTTGTTCTAACTAGAGTTCTCTCCCCTTTACCAATTATCCATTGAAAAACATTGCAGTAATAATGTATCATATTACTTTTCTTATTAATATTTAGAGTGATGCTGGTTTGACAGGAAGAAAGATTATTGTTGATTCCTATGGAGGGTGGGGAGCTAATGGGGGTGGGGCACTGTCTGGTAAGGATGGTACCAAGATTGATAGATGTGCTTCATATGCGGCACGATGGATGGCCAAATCTCTAGTAAAAGCTGGTTTGTGTAAACAGGTCCTGATACAGGTGAATATAAGTGGTTCAGTTCTTTCTCTATCTAATAAAATGTTGAAGAGGTCTTCAAAGCAGGATATTATCCTGACAGTATGAAATGTTGGAAAAACAGGTGGACACATTAGAATATCATCAAAATAATATACCATCCAGAAAATTACTTTTCAAATTTTATTGTAAGAAAGGTTTTGAATATGAAAATTTACATTTACAGGTATCATATTCAATTGGAATTACTGAGCCTGTTAGTTTAAGTATTAATACTTATGGAACTGGTACCATATCAAATTCTGAATTGCTTCAGATATTACAGTCTAATTTTGATCTTCGTCCAGCTCAAATTGTTAAGTAAGTACAACAATTTATAACAAATAAGTAACATGTTGTTATAAAGGAATATAGCACTCTAAATTGCTGTAATTTTTTGTAATGTAAAATTGTATTAGTGAACTAATCATTTTGTTATCCATGGTGACTTGTTACAATAAATGATCTACTCTGTATTGTTTCAGAGAGTTAGATCTTCGTAAACCAATATATTTCAAGACAGCATGCTATGGACATTTTGGAAGAAGTAATGTACCTTGGGAAGTTCCAAAGACCTTGAACTTTTAACTGTTAAAATAATTATAATTAAATGGGAAAATGAAGAGGTTAAAAGAAAGGAAACTTTATTTCATGGTTCAATTTATTTTATAGCTCAATTTATTTCAGCAAGTTTCATTTGATTATTTAATTTATATTTTCTAAAATTCATTCCACATAAAAATATGATCCTCATGTAATGAAAATGTTTTCTAACATCTTTCAAAGTTACAAATGGATTGCTTAAAAAGATGCCCATGTTTTTTTTTTTTTCATTTTATTTCAGTCTTATTTGTTTGAAGTGCATATATGTTCTAATTGAATATGAATCTCATAATTTGAATTTTGAACAAAGTTTATTTGAATCTGTTTGGTTTTTCTCCTTTTTTAAACAGAACACAGATCTATGTTTTACTAATTATTATAACTTTATCTTTTGAATTTCATTTACAAGTTTTAATATTTTAATTTTAATTACATAATTTAAAGCATACACTAATAGAAGATATTCAATGATTCTTCATGTTGTATTTTTTGCTTACATTTGGATTAACCATAAAACTTGCTTCAGCTTTAATAATCTTGTCCTTGGTTGCATTACGATTATTGTACCAAATTTTCCATTCAAATGTATTATTGCATAACACTGCAGAAAAAGTTAAATAGGTTATTCTTTTTCTTATTCAGTGAATAGAGGAAAGAATAGAATGAAATGTCAATTCGTAAACTATAAGTAGGTGAAAGGTTAAAGTGTTCAGTGACGTGTATTGTTTATTTTCATCTTTGGTAGTTATTGAGGCATTTTTTGACATGGGTTGTATTTGTTGTTGTTTTTAAAAGAAAAAATTAATAAAACCACACTTTAAAATTTTATATAGTGTTTTAATCATTATTTCTATCCAAAAAGTTAAACAATTTTAATAGCGATATTAACACAATCTCATTATCCTGAGATTTAATCATTTTTATTTTAATTGAATTAGACCTCCAATTTTATCAACTATTTTTTTGTTATGTAATCAAAATTTGTATTGATTGTTTGTGTTTATAACTATTTATTTGTTGCAGTTGCATTGTTTTGATTTTTTTTTTTTTATCTCAAACATATCATATGATATAAAATAAGGATATGATACTTAACTGAACAATATTACATGACATGCTTTTATCATGATACAAATATCAGACAAATTATCTGTCAAATATTGTCATGTTTATTTCTCAGATATTGATTATAATTATACAAACAAAAATTATAACAATAGTTTAACTGAGCCTTTGTTCATTTTTGATAAAAATTGAAGGTAAAAGGATAATCTATCCATATTTTTGTTAATTTGAATTATGGTTTACGTTCTGTATCACAGTGTCCATCTTTTAGAAAGAACAAAATTCTCATTAAAATCAGAAGCCTAGGTATAAACATGATTTTGTGATGCAAGCAAAATTGGCAATACCATTGCCTTTAAAATCAAATATTGGACTCTTGGCAGTTGAAAGTAAAACTACACAAAGTTATTACCAGCCTTTCTCTAAAAAACATTTTCATGCAAAAAACATGAAAAATCACATTTGAATAGGATGCGCTTTTAGAAAAGTATACAGCTGTAATTGTTTTTGTGAAATATTTGTAACCAATTGAACTTAAATGAGTCAATTGTAGGCGTTCTTGCTCACAACTGTAGTCCCACTTTGTCCACATAAGATTAAGAATATCATGCCCCAAGAATCAGTCCCATCATTGTGTAGCAAGGTGTAATCAGGTATTATTTTAGATTACCTTCAGTTGTCTTGTTTAAAACAAAATATTTCACCACAAGTTTTGTTTCATTTTTGTATATTAAATCAAGATCAAATTCCAGCTTTCATTAGTAAGATTTATCTAAGAGATGAGATTACATTGTTGCCGTTCAAAAATTGCATTGCCAATTATATTTTATTATTATTAGTTGGTGTGAAAATAAATGTATTTTTAATATAACATGTTATTGAAAGCCATGATCCAGCCTTTTCGCTTTGTCGAATAAAATGACATATTCAACATCTGAAGTCATTGTAAAAATTAGACTAGACCAGTCTAGGCACAGTAATGTCCGATTTCAGACATCATTTCTTGACATATCGGAGGTGAAAAATGTAAAGAATTTTCAACTGCAGTGAGTAGATTCTTCTTGAGTTTACCACCAGTATCTACCATGTGTATTGTAAAGCTTTAGTGAAACCAAGAGCACTAACCCCAAATGGACGAGACCATTTTTGTTGCTTGACTTTCAAAAATTACTAAGTTCTAACCAAGGAGCTATAACAAAGTAAACACACAGAATTGACACAAATAGAATGATATGGTTATTGGACACTGATTTAGATAATTGTCCAAGAATATCTGACAAATGCCTAGTCGTCATCTACATCAACATCTTGACGCATTTTCGATGAACGTTTTTTTAGTTATTGCCCTTGACTTGAAAACGCGTCGAAATTTGTTAAAAATAGTTCGTGAGCAGGATTGAAGCTACAGATTTCAACCGATTCTAATGAAACTTGGTTTGATCATTGGAATTTAGAAGATCTCGGACAAGTTCTAACTTGACGCATTTTCGAAGAATGGTTTTTGAGTTATTGCCCTTGACTTTGTAAAAACGCGTCGAAATTTGTTAAAAATAGTTTGTGAGCAGGATTGAAGCTACAGATTTCAACCGATTCTAATGAAACTTGGTTTGATCATTGGAATTTAGAAGATCTCGGACAAGTTCTAACTTGACGCATTTTCGAAGAATGGTTTTTGAGTTATTGCCCTTGACTTTGTAAAAACGTGTCGAAATTTGTTAAAAATAGTTCATGAGCAGGATTGAAGCTACAGATTTCAACCGATTCTGATGAAACTTGGTGTGATTACTGAAATTAATAAGATCTCGGACAAGTTCTAACTTGACGCATTTTCGATTAACGGTTTTTGATTTACTGCCCTTGCCTCGCAAGCTATCTTTTATCAAGTAAATATCTAAATAAATTTAATGGATTAACATTAGGTTTACCAAGAGAACAATAATGGTCATCATGTTCATTATGTTTATGTTTATAATCTCATGAACGAAAATATCCAATTGACACTTCGTCATTACTTCAGTGGCCGGCCAATTTTTGTGGCCGATGGATACACTAATTTTTTGGATTGATTGTAATTGTTGTACATCAACTCTCGCAAATAACGGTATATGTATATATATATTACATAAAATCCCTGTAATTTTAAGTAAGTTCCCAATTTCACCCAAGAACTTCGAACATAAATTTACTGTAACATCAAATGATTTCACGAAATCACTGAATTACCTGATAGTAATTTCATGAAATTCCCGTTGAAATTAATGATATTATTTACAATGATATGATTTATTCACGGTAATTATTTTTAGTTACTGATATCTTGACACGTAGAATATAGCAATATTGCTGATAAATCAATTATTCATTGGAACATTTTAAGCTTCCATGACACCGCAAAGTACACTTTATCTTTGCTTTAAAGCACTTGCAGTGGTTGGTTTGACTTTACTTGGACTCATTAATACGGTGGCTCACATACGACATATTTCACTTTTAATTTTGAATTAAAAACATTAATTTTCACCTTTAGGTGATAAATCCTGTAATTTTTTATTAAAAACTGGTGATAATTATTTTCACCTAGGTGAAAATTAGGTGATAATTCTAAATACTTATCACCTAGGTGAAAATTAAAGTTTTTAATTCAAAAATTAATTTTCACCTAGGTGAAAATTAATTTTTACTTTCAGAATAAAAAGTGGAAAATGTATGTGAGCCACCGTACAGTACAGTTGCATTTGGTAAATTCTTGTCGACCAGATGCAGACTGAAAGATAAGAACTGTGTGCAGGGAAACAGGATGTTCTTAATTTACATCTAACTAATGGTTCTTCTAAGGTGTTTACTAAAATCCGTGGAGGTGTTACAGTAATTCTGGCAGATTTGTGAAATTTTGATGTGAAGCATTGGTAGATGGGAATATTTCGAGTGGATCTGTGGAATGTTGCAGAAAAGGACTGGTAGATGGAAGTAGTTCGAGTGGAATTTTGATCTAAAGCACTGGTAGATGAGATATCAAATGTATCTGCGGGTATATTGCCTTGCTCCCCTATAGCTAGGGAACCGGATTTCCCTGAGTCATACAGGGATAATATGAAATTTCAGTAAATTTCATGTCATGTCATCATTGGTTACAGAGATTTACTGTAACATATATCCGGTTTTACCCATGGTGTAGTTGGTGATGAATAATCGCACCATGTAGGTATTAATCTTTATTCATGCTGGATAACATTTCTGTTTAAGAAATACTAAGATTTTGTCTACCAGATTCAATATTGATATTTGGAGAATGCCTCAGGCGATATCAAAATATTTCTATAAAGAGTGACACTAGGTCTGAGATTGTAGATAAATAAAATGATATTTTGTAAGAAAATAGTAAAAATATTTTAATTGTATCTATTTTATCAACCTATTGTTTATCGCCTGTCAATCAGAGACTCTCACCTGGTGGCGTCTTTGATGTATTGAAATCCAGGTGTGAAGTGATTTACATACAGTAAATTGATACACGGTGTTTATTAATAATAATATTTGTACTGGACATAAGATACCTCAAGTAGGTTATTCATCATTTCCACCCGGATACTTTATCCTAGAATCAAACACCTTATATAGATTTAAAGGACGCTGGTTACATCGAAAAGAAAACATCAAACATTTCTCATTGAAAATGTCCAAATGGGCTAAATACGCGAAAATCTAACTTATAACATGCATCAGATGACAACTCTTGGTAAAGGTCTGATTTAACCTGTAATATACATCAGATAACAACTCTTGGTAAAAGTCTGATTTAACCTGTAATATACATCAGGTGACAACTCTTGGTAAAGATCTGATTTAACCTATAATATACATTAGATGGCAACTCTTGGTAAAGGTCTGATTTAACCTATTATATACATCAGGTGACAACTCTTGGTAAAGATCTGATTTAACCTATTATATACATCAGGTGACAACTCATGGTAAAGGTCTGATTTAACCTATAATATACATCAGATAACAACTCTTGGTAAAAGTCTGATTTCATCTATAATATACATCAGGTGACAACTCATGGTAAAGGTCTGATTTAACCTATAATATACATCAGGTGACAACTCTTGGTAAAGGTCTGATTTAACCTATTATATACATCAGGTGACAACTCTTGGTAAAGAGATTTAATCTATAATATACATCATATGACAACTCTTGGTAAAGGTCTGATTTAATCTATAATATACATCAGGTGACAACTCATGGTAAAAGTCTGATTTAATCTATAATATACATCAGGTGACAACTCTTGGTAAAAGATCTGATTTAATCTATAATATACATCAGATGACAACTCTTGGTAAAAGTCTGATTTAATCTATAATATACATCAGATGACAACTCT